TCCCCCTCCTCCTCCTCCTCCTCCTCCTCCTCCTCCTCCTCCTCCTCCTCCTCCTCCTCCTCCTCCTACTCGCCCTCCTCCTCCTCCTCCTCCTCCTCGCCCTCCTCCTCCTCCTCCTCCTCCTCCTCCTCCTCCTCCTCCTCCTCCTCCTCCTCCTCTAGTCCTCCTCCTCCTCCTCCTCCTCCTCCCTCCTCCCCTCCCTGCCTCTGCTCTCCGCACCGCAGCCCCATTTCGGCACACTCCTCAAACGTTTCGTGGCCCCACAGGGAGCTCCACCGACGGCCCCAGTGGGAAAGTTCGCATGGCACCGCCGCCCCATTTCGGCACCCCCCTCCCACGTTTCGTGGCCCCACAGGGAGCTCCACCGAAGGCCCAGTGGGAAAGTTCGCATGGCACCGCCGCCCCATCTCGGCACCCCCCTCCCACGTTTCGTGGTCCTATAGGGAGCTCCACCGAAGGCCCCAGTGGGAAAGTTCGCATGGCACCGCCTCTCCATTTCGGCACCCCCCTCCCACGTTTCGTGGCCCCAGAGGAAGCTCCACCGAAGGCCCCAGCGGGAAAGTTCGCATGGCACCGCCGCCCCATTCTAGCACCCCCCTCACACGTTTTCGTGGCCCCACAGGGAGCTCCACCGAAGGCCCATGTGGGCAAGTCGGCATGGCACCGCCGCCCCATTTCGGCACACCCCTCACACGTTTCGTGGCCCCCTGGTGCCGCGGCCCCATTTCGGCACACCCCTCCCACGTTTCGTGGCCCCATAAGGAGCTCCACCGAAGGCCCCAGTGGGAAAGTTCGCATGGCACCGCCGCCCAATTTCGGCACATCCCTCACACGTTTTCGTGGCCCCATAGGGAGCTCCACGGAATGCCCCAATGGCGGCGTTCGTGGGCGTCCTCACGAGTCATGTCGGCACACCTTTCACACGTTTCGTCGCAGAAGGTTATACCGCGTGCGTTACTCGGAGATTGCGTGTCCCCCTGCTTTGTCTCATCTCCCTTGCGGCATTCGCAGCTGCATATGGTTGGGTCCTTCGTCAGGCTAATCATCTCTCTCTCTCTCTCTCTTTTTCGTTCCACCTCTCTCTCTCTCTCTCCCTCCTGGAGCGAGAGAAAGAGAGAGAGAGAGAGAACAAAGAGAGAGAGAGAGAGAAACAACAAACCAAGACATTCAATAATGCGAGAGAGAGATAAGACACGAAGGAGGAACAAGCAACATGGATACACGTACCTATATATATATATATATATATATATATATATCCCGGGGGACGAGGACCAGGGACCCGGGACTGCGACCTCGAGCGCGCATGGGGGTACCGGGGCTTCTGGGGCGCCCCCGGGACGGCTCCCGAGGGCGTCGGAGGCCGCCAAACATATCAAGAGGGTGCACAAGCCTCGACATGTAGCTTGAAGACGCCGACGATGGCTCCAAGAGGGCGCCCGGGAACCCCCGAGACAGCCAAAGAGGGTCCCAAGAGCCTTCCCACGAGGGCCCCAAGAGGCAAAAGTGGTCCCGTTCCCTTCGGAAAACGTACGTTTTTGAGGGATTCGCCCCTTGACCTTCCAGGGGAACGAAGACGGCCCGAGAGGCCGCCAGGATCGCCCCAAGACAGTCCAAGAGGGTTCCAAGACAGCCCCAAAGGGCCCCTGGCTAGCCCAAGAGGCCCCCAAGACGGCCCAAGAGGGACCCAGGACGGCCCCAAGCAGGGGCCCAGAGAGGATGCCCTACGAACATTTCAACCCCTCCGCCCCCAGAGGTCCCAAGGAGGCCCCAAGAGGCCCCCCAAACGCCCCCCAGAAACTCCCTAGAGGCCCCCCAACAGCCCCCTGACCAGACGCCCTCAGGTACTTTTCCCGCTCCCGAAGCTTCTGGACCACTCTTCGCTTCCTGAGGCCCGAAAGGGGCCCGGGACCGTCAAGCATTTACGACGAAACACCGGGCCCATGGAAGCTCTTCGGACTTCGGGCCCATTCCAGGGGCCCCGCGTTGAAGAACAAGTCACGCTAGCGAATCTCTTTGACAAGAGGCCCCCGAAGGCGCTCCGAAGAGACCCCAAGAGGCATCCCTGAGAACTCTGACCCACAACCCTGGCATAGTGGTGGGATGTGCCGAAGGCCATTCGATCCATATACATATGCATACGTACATGCATCCATACTTAGATACATACATACATACATAATGCGACATACATACCGATCTACGAGGCGCCCAAGATCGCCCAAGAGGGCCCCAAGACGGCCCCAAGAGGGGCTCAAGAGGTGGAACACGAACCGACAATTCGAGCCTTCCGCCCCAAAAGGCTTCCAGGAGACCCCAAGAGGCCCCCAACAGAGCCCAAGAGGCCCCCCCGAGGCCCTCTAGATGCCCCACGAGGCCCCACAGAGGCTTCAAAGAGGCCCCAAAAGAGGCCCCAAGGGCAACCCAAACGGCCCTCAAAAGACCTCCAAAACATACCGGTGCATAGCAAAGGACCGCCTAGGGTCCCGGACGGCGTCAGAGGCCCTTCAGATCGCTCCAAGACGGCCGAAGAGGCTCCCAAGAAAGCCCAGAGACGGCCCAGGAGGCTCCCCAGATAGTTCAAGAGGGCGTCGACAGCGCCCCAAGAGAGCCTCAATAGCGACCCAAGAGGGCCCGAAGAGCGCGACATTTCAAGGTCTCAGGCCTGAGAGGCTCCTAGGACGCCCCCTGAGGCCATCATGGCTCCCAAGAAGCCCTGTGAGGCTCCCAAGAGGTCCCCCGGAAGCCCCAATAGGCCCCCAAAAGGCTCCCAGGGAAGCCCCCTGCGGGCCCCCAAGACACCTCGGTACGTCGCATTTCCCAGACAGCTTTCCGGGCACATGATTCTTTGGGACTCCGCCCACCGCCCCAACCATGTTTCCAATAGGCTTGCCGACGAAGCCAAAAATGGGCCCCTCTTAGGAGAGCCGAACAAATGATGCTCCCGGAAAGCTTCCCGGGAACATGTTTCTCTATCTCGGAGTAGGCCCGAGGGGGGGCGGGCCGCTGCTGATCCCCCCATCGGTGCCCGCCAGGGGTTGTTGGGGGGGGTCCAGAGCTCCCGAGGCGGCCCGGGCCCGCCCCGAAACAGGCCAAGACATGCTAAGGGGATCCCAAGAGGGCCCAAGACGCTCCCAAGAGGCCCCGAAGACGCCCAAGATGCCCTCAAGACAGCCGACGAGGACTCCAACGCGCTCCAGGACGGACTCGAGAGGCTCCTCAAGGCCCTGGGAGGCAAGATTCACTCATTTTCCGAGTGTTTGGGATTTTGGCGTTCTCGCTTTTCCCGCTTCCGAGCCTTGGAGGCCTCACGGCCCACGAAGCCCCGAAGAGCGCCCCAAGACGGCCCAGGAGGCTCCCCAGACAACCCAAGTGTGCCCCAAGAGAAGGCCCAGAGGGGTCCCGAGGCGGCCCGGGCCCGCCCCGAAGCAGGCCACGACATGCTAATGGAGGTCCCGAGAGGGCCCAAGACGCTCACAAGAGGCCCCGAAGACGCCCATGCCCTCAAGACGGCCGACGAGGACTCCAATACGCTAAAGGACGGACTCGAGGCTCCCCAAGAGGGCCCTGGGAGGCAAGATTCGCTCATTTTCCGATGGTGTTTGAAGGATTTTGGCGTTCTCGCTGTCCATGGCCTCGGAGGCCCTACAGATCGCTCCAAGACGGCCCACGAGGCCCCGAAGAGGGCCCCAAGACGGCCCAGAAGGCTCCCCCAACAACCCAAGTGTGCCCCAAGAGCTCCCCAAGAGGGGGCCCAGAGGAGGAACGGCAACCGATATTTCGAGGTCTCTGGCCCTAGAGGCCGCCAGTAGGCCCCCAGAGGCTACCAAGAGGCTCCCACGAAACCCCGTGAGGCGCCCAAGAGATCCCCAGGAAGCCCCAAGAGACCCCCAAGGGGCTCCCAGGGAACGCCCAAAAGGGCCCCCACCCCAAGAAATCATGTCCCCAGAAGGCATTCCAGGGACATGGGTTCATCATGGGCCCGCGAGTTCCCAGAGGCCCCCAAGGGGCCCCCAGGGAGCGCCCAAGAGGCCCCCCAACACACCCGAACAAACCATGTCCCCAGAAAGCCTTCTGGGGACATGGTTCATCATGGGCCCGCGAGTCTCCGGAGGCTTCGAAGTACCATCATGCTACAGGAGAGCTGTCTGGGAAGTTGACTGGGAACATGATTGATCGCCCTCTCGCGGCCCTCTGCAGATCGTTTCGCGCAAAGTGCCCTCTTGGACCGACGACGGCGACGACGACGACGACGACGACGACTACGAAACGACGAAGATGAGGACGACGACGACGACGACGACAAGACGACGACGACGACGACGACGACGACGACGACGATGACGACGACGACGACGACGACGACGACGACGACGACGACGACGACGACGACGACGACGACGACGACGACGACGACGACGGCGCGCCCCAAGAGGCGACGGCGACATTACGACGACGACGGCTGCACGCCCCAACAGGCTCCCCAAGACGCCCCCCAAACCCATGCTGCCAGAAGGCCTTCTGGGAGCTGGATTCATCCGGCCTCCGCCCCCCTACGCAACAATTTTCCCGGAAGCCTTTCGGAATGCGGGTTGGCATGCGTGGATTGTGGTCCATTACTTCAGTGGAGCAGTTAATTCGTCAAGGCCTGGGGCCTGCTAGAACCTGAGCGCGCGCGAAGCGCGCGCGATGGTTTGTAGTATATATATATACACATACACATAAGAATAAGTATGAATATGCACATGTTGATGCAAACAACAGGAGTTGAGGAGGATTTAGAGACGGAGGCACATGGAGGCACAGAGACTGACAGGGAGATAGGGGAGGGGAAAAATTCGGGCAGGGGATCGGAGGTGGACGGAGGGGAGGGAGGCGACTCCTGCCGGCCATGCGGGCTGCTGGCACCAAGCATCTGGCTGCCCACGAGACGCCGGATTGGTGTTGCCTCGGGGACCAGGCCGAGGATTGGAACTCGATCGCGGGGGGCGCTCTCCGAGGCCAGGGGCAGTGGCCGCGGTGCAGCCCCCCTCGCCTCCTCCGGGCAGCCGGCGTCCTCTGCAGACGGCCGGGACGAAGACGACGAGGAGAGGCGGCGGAAGAGGAAGGAGCAGAAGCGGCAGGACATCAGGGGTAACGATGGGGGGGAGGATAGGCATAGGGGGGGATGCATCAACCCCTAATCGCCCACTGATCGCCGATAGGGGTCTGATAGCTCCACCCCACCCAGGAAGGTGCAGCTTCGCTATCGGGGGCCTATCGCCGATCTCTCGGCGATGTATCGCATGCATCCCCCCCCCCTTTGTCAGTCCCCCCCCTTATCGTTGTCCCTCAGGACAAGGAGCGCCAGCGTGAGCGCGACAAACAGACGCAGGCCGAGGCCGAGGAGGAGTGGCGGGGGCGGGGTGCCATGGCTATTGCCGCAGATGCTCCTTAGAATACACGAAACCGGAAAAAAACACAGGGAATGGACGTCCGAGCGATGGCCAGACAAGACAAGATACGGCCAGGAGCTGTTGGGTAGCGTGTCGCTCCGCCGGTTCTGGCCCACCACGCTGCGGCGCGACACGCTATCCACTTCCTAGTCCCTCGGCGTCAACGTCCCGAACTTTTCCAAGGTTCCTGTCCCGCGAAGCGGAGCGGCACGCCATCCGCTTGCAAGGGTTAGCTTGTCGCCGGGGCCGTTGCGGCGATAAGGTATGAGCTTGTCTTTTTATTGCTCGGACCCGTAACGCCCGTTACGGGGGGGGTTCCCCCCCCCCCGTAACGGTAACGAGCGTACGGGGACGGGGGTGCGGACCCCCCCTCCGTCCAGGCAGGCATGCTGTGACGCTCACATGTGTGCTCAGGTTCGAGGTTCGAGGTTCGAACCTCGGCGCAAACTCAAAATGGGTCCACGGGGCCCGACTGGGGCTCAGACGCACCAGTTTCCCGAGCCGCGTCCAGCCGCGGCGACGACGAAGGCCCTCGAGGGCCAGGATGCCTCGATACTCGAGGTTCGAGGTTCGCATCCCTCGGCGCGAACCTTTCAACGGGTCCGAGCGCTTTTTGAACCAGAAAAACTAAGATCCACAAGCAGCTCACATAGTGAAAGGGCCACGGTCGGGCCCCGAGCGATCTTCTGGACTTTCGCTCCGCCGGTACCTTACAGGTGTACACAAGCTTTGTGGTGTACGCTGGCATTCTGGTGCAAATACGGGGCGTTGAAACAGCAGCTGTGGTGCACGCGGGCGCCGTGGTGTGCACCAACAGTGAGATGTACAAGGGCGCTGTGGTGCACCCGCCTGTCATGATGTGCTCAGTCGCCGTGGTGCACACACATAACATTTCTGCCGCAGTTGTGGTGTACAAAGGCATCGCGGTGTACAGAGCCTGTGTAGTGTGCACAGGCACGGTCGGCTTCGACGACGACGACAGCGGCGACGACGACGACGACGAAGCCTACCGTGCCGACAGTTGTGCTGGTAATAAGTACCAGGGCCCGTGCGAGGGCCCCGCCGCGCGTTACCGTTACCCCCAACTTGGGGCCGGACCTCCCCCCCCCCCGTAACGGGCGTTACCCCCCCAATAAAAAAACAAGCTCTATCCAAAAGTTCCCGACCGTATTCTCCTCCTCCTCCTCCTCCTCCTCCTCCTTCACCTCCTCGCCCTTGGTGTCTCTGCCTCTGCTTGTTCCTGCGCCCTGTGGAAAGCCCCCATGGAGGGGATGTGGATTCCTCTTGCCCCTGGACGGGCTTTCTTCTCGTTCGCTCCCGTGTCCGCCCTCTCTTCTCTATTGGCAGTGGCGCTCCTCCTCCTCCTCCTCCTCCTCCTCCTCCTCCTCCGCCGCCTCCTCCTCCTCCTCCTCCTCCTGCTCCTCCTGCTCCTCCTCCTCCTCCTCCTCCTCCTCCTCCTCTTCACTCTCCTCCTCCTCCTCCTCCTCCTCCTCCTCCTCCTGCTCCTCCTCGTTCGCTCTCCTCCTCCTCCTGCTCCTCCTCCTTCACCTCCTCGCCGCCCTCCTCCCCAGGAGGCCGAGCGGCAGGCCAGGGCCAGGCTGGCGCAGGAGGCGGCCGCCCGCCTCGAGCAGGAGCGCAAGGCGGCCCAGGCGGCGGCCGCGGGGCAGGCGCCGCCTGCGGGCGGCAGCGCGCCCGCGGGCCACTTCCAGCTGCCGGCGTACCTCTCCATGGTGAAGAAGCTGGGCTCCGGGGCCCTCCTCCTCCTCCTCCCCCTCCTCCTCCTCCCCCTCCTCCCCCTCCTCCTCCCCCTCCTCCTCCCTCCTCCTCCTCCCTCCCCCTCCTCCTCCTCCTCCTCCTCGCCCCCCTCCTCCTCCTCCTCCTCCTCCTCCTCCTCCTCCTCCTCCTCCTCCTCTCCTCTCCTCCTCCTCCTCCCCTCCTCGCCTCTCCTCCTCCTCCTCCTCTCCTCCTCCCTCTCCCCCTCCTCCTTCTCCTCCTCCCCCTCGTCCGCGCACGTGCCTCGAGCCACGAGCAGTCTGTTCCCAAGCTCGGCACGAACGAGATGGGTACGGAAAGAATGGGTACCATGCCCAAGAGCAGCTCTTGTTCATTCTGAACAGGACTCCCTGTCCACGCCGCCGCGGCCTGTGTCAGTTCGAGGCAGAAGGCCGCCTGCCCAACAGCGGCCGCTGTTGGTTAGGGACAACATTTGTTGTTGGGCATTGTACCCATTTTTTCCGTACCCATTTCGGGCGTCCAAAGGCTCTGGGGCCTACGGGGAGGTAGCCCTGTGCGACGACCTGCAAAAACAGCAGCAGGTGGCCGTCAAGGTCATCCGGGATTTCGCGAAAGACCCCGTGCGCGGCAAGCGGATCCTCCGTGAAGTGCGTCTGCTTGCTTACCTGCAGCATGACAATTTGCTGAACCTCACCGACATACTGGCGCCTCCGAGTCCCGATTTCGACGACATCTACATAGTGATGCCGTACTTGCAGGTGGACTTGCATAGACTGATCCACTCAAGGGTGCCGCTGGTGGAGGCGCAGTCCAAGGCTTTCGTCTGCCAGACGTTGCGGGGCTTGAAGTACATGCATTCGGCAGGCGTTATGCACAGAGACCTGAAGCCATCAAATGTCCTTGTTAACAAGGACTGCTCGCTCAAGATTGCAGACTTTGGTTTGGCCAGGAGTTCAGAGGAAGAGGAGTGCAAGATGACCGAGTACGTAGTGACGCGATGGTACCGCGCCCCCGAACTTTTGCTGCTGCCGTCTGGGTATTCGGAAGCGGTGGACTTGTGGTCCATGGGTTGCATCCACGTGGAGTTGATTGCGAGGGAACCTTTGTTCCCAGGGAAGGACCACTTCGATCAGCTGAGGCACATCGCGGAGACTCTCGGCTTCTCCGTGGAGAGGGACCTGGCGTGGGTGCCGCCGCAGAACCTGCGGGAGGTTAAGCGGATGCTCGGAAGCCGCAGGTTGCCAGAGCGGCCAGAGAAGCCTCTTTCCCAGCGCATCCAGGGCATCGAGGACCGAGATGCGTGCCTCGACCTGATCGTCAAGATGCTGGATAAGGCCGCCGCTGGGAAATCCATGCACCACACCTCTTCGAGGGGCAGGGGGAGCGCATAGGCTCCAGGCTTCCTGGACAAAAGCTCGAAGCCTGGGCTCACCACGTCGAGACAGGAGGTGTAGCGCGTGAGTAGGAGGAGGAGGAGGAGGAGGAGGAGGAGGAGGAGGAGGAGGAGGAGGAGGAGAAGGAGGGGGAGGAGGAGGAGGAGGAGGAGGAGGAGGAGGAGGAGGAGGAGGAGGAGGAGGGGCTCCTCTGCCTGCCGAGGTGCCCCTCACGCGCATATCCGCGGCGGACGCCATCGCGCACCCCTACCTGGCCAAGCTGCAGGATCCACCCAAAGAGACCGTGGCGTTGGAGAGATTCGACTGGGCCTTCGATCAGTTCGAAGCAACCACGCGGTCGCTCAAGGACCGGGTCTACGCGGAGTGCGCCAGGTACCACCCCGAGATCGTGGATCGCGACGCGGAGTGGATCAGAGAGCGGGGCTTCAAGGCGTGATGGGGACGATTGTAAGCGCGCCACACGGGTAGGTCCGTCGTGCCCTCCTGGAGCACGGAGGGGGTGATTGCCCAAGCGTCGTGGTTCGTTGATCCCGCGATTCTCCGCGCTGCCTTGCTCAGGCTCTGGCTTCAGCGACGCTGGACCACCTTTGGCCGTGACCCCCGAGGAGGCCTCGTAGAGGACCCAGATCTATCGGGTCTATGTTCCAATCACAGTTAGAAAAGGCGTGATGGTGGAGACCCCTCCCCATCAGTTGGGAAGCTGGCAGTTGTCTTCATCCGAGCTGAAGCGTGCTGCCTTTCCTCGCCATGCGTCTCCTTTCAGAAAGAGTGTTAGAGAAGGCACGAAGGAGGAGACAAGCGGAGAACGAGGCAGGCTTCCTTGCCACGCCACGCACGACAGGCCAACGCGGCGTCAGGGCCACTCCGAGCACGCTGCAGCCCTGGCGAAGGAAGCCCGAGGCTGCATCGTTCATGAGACGCGGCACGCGCACAGGCGGTGGCAAGCACCAGTCTCCAACATCTCCTGGGCTCAAGACCGCCATCTCCTTAATTGAGCCCGTTGTTGCGAAGGAAGCCCCAGGTTGCATCGTTCATGCGACGCTGTACGGGCACAGGCGGTGGCAAACACTAGTCTCCATCATCTCCCGGGTTCAAGGCCGCCGTCTCCTTAATTGAGCCCGTTGTTGCGAAGGCCCGACGGCCGGGGCCGTCGACCCCGGAAGAAGACCCTCATGATGGAGGTGGCAGCTGGAGGTGTGCGGGAAGGCTGGGGCCAGACGCCCAAGAAGAGTTCCCCTGAAGCCCAATGAGGTTCCCAAGAAGCGTTTGACGAGGAGCTCAGCTTGGTCAAGCTATCTGCCCACGTGCTCTCGCAGCCGCTGGAGCAGGAAGAGGGGGAGAATCAGGAGGCGGAGGAGGAGTACATAGGAGAAAGAGGAGGAGGATAGGGGGATCAGCAAGAAGAGGAAGAGGAGGAGAACGAGGAAGACAACAACATCAACAACAACAATCATTTTAAGACTGTTTGCTCCTATCTGCTCACGTGCCAATCAATACGTATATCCCAAACCCTCGGTACCCGCTCTCGTCGTCTTCGATCGTACCCCCTTGGGGGTATATCTTCCTTACCTGCCACGTGTATTTAGTGCAGCCCCTTAAACAAGGGAAGAGAGGACGGGTGGAAGGGGGAGTGAGACGAATGGAGCACGAGATAAATTAGCAGGAGGGGGGCAAGGAGCAGAAAACAAGTGGTAGAACCAGACGGGCAGATCGGGTGGGCAGACCCCTATAGGCCCTAGCGGGCAGGTCGGGAAGGCGGGCCCAAGCGACGAGTTCGAGCAGGCGGGTTGCTGAAGCGTGGGTCCTGCATGCATCGCGAGGAAGTCTCGAGCGATAACACGATTCCCAAGTAAATCGTGAGAAAAGCCAGCGTGAACCACGAAGGGCAAAAAATCCGAGGCCACAGAGGGCAGCGACGGGGCCGCTGAGGGCAGCACCAGGGCCACGAAGGGCAGCGAGGGGGCCACAAAGGGCGACAGCGGGGCCACGACGGGCATGCATATGGGGCCACAACGGGAGCGAGCGGGAGCCACGAAGGGCATTCGTATACGGGGCCACAAAGGGCGACAGCGGGGCCACTGAGGGCAGCAAAGGGGCCACGAAGGGCAGCGAGGGGGCCACGAAGGGCGACAGCGGGGCTACGAAGGGCATGCATATGGGGCCACGACGGGCGCGTGCGAGCGGGGGCCATGAAGGGCATATAATGCGGGGCCACAAAGGGCAGCGACGGGGCCACTGAGGGCAGCAACTGGGCCGCGAAGGGCAGCGAGCGAAGGCGACCGCGGAACCAGTACGGGCAGCGAGGGGCATCGAAGGCGGGCGAAGGGCAGCGAGCGGCGACTGCAGTCTTTAACGGGCCGGTCGGGCGGGCAGGCCCCGACGGGCGGGTCGAGCGGGCGGGTCGTTGAAGCGTGAGTCTTGCTTGCGCCACGAGGCAATATGCAGCGGGGGCGCGATTCCTGAGTGTCGAGGACCGGCATCTGGATAAATTGTGAGGATCTGTCAAGCGAAGTGGTTCGGCGGTACGTTGCGAGGAAGTCCCAATGGCCCAAGCGAGAACGCGATTCTATAATGCATTGTCAGGAAGTATCAGGCAGGAGCCGCGATTCGGTGGTAAATTGCCAGGAAGTCCAAAGCGAGAGCGCGATTGTCAATCAATTGTAAGGAAGTATCAGGCGGGAGCCGTTGTTGTTGCAGTCCGGGGGATCGCCATTCTTCTGGGATCGCCAGATTAAATCGTGAGGAAGTTTCAAGCGGGAGCGCCATTCCTGAGTAAATTGGGAGGAAGTCTCAGACGGGAGGGGGGGATCCTGATTAAATTTAGAGGAAGTCTCAGGCGGGAGCCGTTGTTGTTGTAGTCCGGGGGGCCAGGGGCCCAGTTTGACCACGAAGACTTTCCCTGTCAAAAAACAGGGTACGGGCGTCAAGGGGCACACTTTGATTGAGAAAAAACCATATGCGCCGGTGAGGGGCGATTAACAATAGTTATTCTTCAGAAATGAGAGTTCAACAACAACAACAACAACAACAACAACAACAACAACAACAACAACAACAACAACATGGAGGCGGAGGAAGAGGAGAAGGAGGATCAGAAGGAGGATGATGATGAGGAGGAGGATGATACATCTTGAGAGCCTCTTCGGGGCTCTAGGAGCTCCCTCAGGCTTCATAGCGGCCTCTTGCCACCATCCGGGACCGTTTTGGAGGCATTTGGGAGCGATCTTAGGGCAGACGGGGTCATCTTCGCGGTCTTTGAGGGCATCTTGGATCGTCTTGGCTGCGACGCAGCGCTATCCTGACCATTTGGGAGGCGAGCCTGGCCGTCTCTTGGAGAATTCTGTGGGGGCTTCTGTGGGCTTTCTTGGAGCAATTTCAGGAGGCCCCTCTTGGATCTAAGACGCCTACGGCGAATCACCGCCGCCCCCGCCTTCTAGAATCGCCCATGTGGCCGAGCGTTGCGGCAAAAGCTCTGCCAAAGTATCGGGCCATGTGTTCCCCCAACCGTTGTGGAAACCTTTCGGGGAACACTCGGGGGAGGATGGCGGGGAAGATCAAGAGGAGGCGGAGGAGGAGGTAGAGGAGGAGGAGGAGGAGGAGGAGGAGGAGGAGGAGGAGGAGGAGGAGGAGGAGGGGGCATCTTGGAAGCCTCTGGGGACACTCTTGGGGTCTTCTGGGAGCTTCCTGGGAGCCTCTTGGACCTTTGGGGGCTTCTCGGGGGCCTCTCTGGCCGTCTTGGGGGCCTCTCTGGGCCGTCTTGTGGCCCTCTTCGGGTGCTCCAGGGCTGTCTTGGAGGCCATCTTGGGCGTCTCGGAGGCCTCTTGGGGCCGTCTTGGGGCCTCTTGGGCCGTTCTGGGGCCATCTTGGAGGCCCCTTGGGCGATTTTGGGGCGATCTTTGGGGGCTCTTGGGCCGTCTCGGGCCGTCGGAAGGCCGAAAAGAAGCAAATGTCAAAATCCTGCAAGAACCTACGGAAAATCAAGGATTTGGGCCTCTTCTGGCCCTCTTGGAGGCCTCTTGGGCCGTCTTGGGCCAGCCTAGAGCCAACTTCGGTCATCTTGGTGGGCTCCTGGCCCGTCTGACGCCGTCGGAAGCCGTCTTGGGGGCCTCTCTGGGCCGACCAGGGCCGTCTTAGAAGCCATCTTGGGCGTCTTGGAGGCCTCTTGGGTCGTCTTTGTGCCCTCTTGGGGCCGTCTTTGGGGCCTCTTGGGCAGTCCTGATGCCATCTTGGATGCCTCTTGGGCGCTTTGGGGGCGATCTTTGGGGCCTCTTGGGCCGTCTTGGGTCGTCGGAAGGCCGAAAAGGATCAAATACGAAAAACCTTTGAAAACCTACGGACAATCAATGATTTGAGCCTCTTCGGGCCCTCTTGGAGGACCTCTCGGAGGCCTATTGGGCCGTCTTGGAGGCATCTGGGCACCTCTTGGGCCGTCTTGGAGGTTTCTTGGGGACTTGGAGGTATCTTGGACTCTCTTGGACCGTCGTGGAGGCCATCTTGGACCATCTTGGGCGAACTTGGAGGCCATCTTGGCCATCTTGGAAGCCATCTGGGGCCATCTTGGAGCCATCTGGAGCAGGAAAAACCTTTGCAACCGAATTTTGGGCAGTCTTTGGGGCCATTTTGGGACCCCAGCGGGCTGGGCCGCAGTCCCAGGGAAAGTTCTTTTGGAAAAAGAACCAAAACCAAAAGCGAAAGGATTTAGCACGCCGGGCACCCCTGTGGCAAGCCAACATGGGGCGGCGGATTATCGAAGACGCCTACGGCGAATCACCGCCGCCCCCTGCCTTTTTGGAAGCGCCTGCGTGGCCGAAAGTTGGGTTTGAGCTTGGCCAAGCTATCGGGCCACGCGTTGCCCGAGTGGGTTTCGAAAGCTTTCGGAGAACACCGAGTCGGGCGAGCTATCGGACCAGGTGGTTTCCGAGCTTTCGGGCTTCCTGGAGGACGTTTTGGAGGGGTCTTACGCCATTTTGGAGGCCTCTTGCGGGCAATTTGGGCAGTCTAAGGCCATCTTCGCTGTCTTGGAGGCCTTCTTGACCGTCTTGGAAGCATCTCATCTTGGCCGTCTTGGAGGCCATCTTCGGTGTCTTCGGGGCCATCTTGGGTCGTCTTGGGCTCTTCTTGGGGCCCTCTTGGGGACCTCTTGGGCTGTCATGGGGCCATCTTGGAGGCCTCTTGGGCGCTTTTGGGACGATGTTGGGGGCCTCTTGGGCCGTCTTGGGCCGTCGGAGAGCTGATAAGAACAAAATGCCAAAATCTTTCAAAAACCAAAGGACAATCAATGATGTTTGCCCTTTCGGGCCTTCCTGGAGGACGTCTTGGAGGCCTCTTGGGGGCCTCTTGGCCAGTCTGAGGCCATCTTGGAGCCATCTTGGGCCGTCTTGGAGGTTTCTTGGACGAACTTGAAGGCTTCTTGGAATCTCTCAGGCCGTCTTGGAAGCCATCTTGGACCATCTTTGGCGACTTGGAGGCCATCTTGGAGGCCATCTTGGGCCAACGTGACCATCTTAGAGGCCATCTTGAGCCGTCTTGGAGAATTGTTTCCGGTCGTTGAGGTGGTTTATGCTGCCTTGTGCGGCCTTTCGGGTGGCTGGCGGGACGGGCCGAAGCCCCAGGGAGAGCTTTTTGAGGAAAATAATCAAAACCAAAAGCGAAAGGATTCAGCACGCCGGGCACCCCTGTGATGAATCAACAGGGGGCGGCGGATCGAAGACGCCTACGGCGAATCACCGCCGCCCCCTGCCTTTGTGGAAGCGCCTATGTGGCCGAACGTTGAGGCC